ATATGTCGGCTACTACACTCAGAAAAATAAATTAACCAACTAATCATTTTGTTAGAGAAATTTAAGCTCATTTGCTAAAGAAGATGTGAAATCGAACATGTGGTATGGTTGAACCAACATGATGCGTCGAGTAAGAATATTTTAATCTGAGATTAAGTTAAAATCTGATTAAATCAATCAAATTATTTTTCTGAATGTAATAAAAATTTGCATCGTTCAGACGACAAGGTAGTGGTTGGCGACTATACTCTCAAATTTGTCAAGGATTTCTTTTACTTTGGCACTGCCGTAACGAAAAACAACTATGTCAGCTTGGAGAACAGACGAAGAATCATCATTGTCAATAGGTGCTACCTTGAGCTCAGTAAGTCATTGCAATGAAGAGCTCTTCCTCGACAAACAAAACTTACGCTCTATAGATCGCTCATCTTACTTGGACGTTATTATAGAATGATGAAGAAACACTGGGAGTTTTCGTTTTTCTTCAGATCTTTTGTCCGCAATGAGTTGCTCTACCTCATCCGAATGAACCATGAGGTGTAGGAGCTCATGCGAATTAAGAACCCTCTGAATCGCTGGCTTGGTTATTTCGTGAGAACAAATAAAGAAGCCAAAGTGAAAAAGGTATTTAAAGCGGTAGTTAGAGGATGACGTCGTAAAGGTATACCGTGACTCCGGTGGAGTAATCAAGTTAAAGGAGCAGTATCTGGAGTTGATGTATGAGACTAGAGGTAAACACGCAGCACAGACGTCTTGAGAGATATACAGGCTGATACTCGGTAACGGGTTTTTTAAGGCATTTGTTTTGTTATAGTATATTATGTAGTATTATTCAATCAGATATGGATTACTCAATATTTAAGCAAAAAACAGTTGTTAACTCGATTTCGGTAATACCATTTATCTTCTGTTGTTACAATGAAAACTAAAATGTCAAGGAATTTCGTTTTAAAACTGGAGTTCCCAATTTCTTTTCTTCAAGTCGACATCCTTCTATAGTTCTAATAGCGAATTTAGTATGTGAATTGTTAGTATTCTCATTCCTTCAAATGGATAACCCCTAATTTAGTATAGTCTAAGAGAATTACTTCAATTTTTAAAATATCATAAGTTTTCTAATACGATGAGTCCGTTGTATTTTAGAAATTCTATCCTAAAGTTTCTAATTACTTCTTTCACTTCTTAACACTTTGTTAAAGTTAAGTGTTCCTTTGACTTTTGTCTAGAGTTTAGGTCCACTAAACGATGATTCCACTAAACATTTTAATTGCATTCCCCTTGAAACTGCTTGAACATATTTCATGTACAATGCTGCAGTAAAATTGTAAGTGCCCTACAACCTCTATTAGTAGTTCCCGCGCCTTTTTGAAGCGGTTACAATGAAAAACTCTATGTTCGGTGCTTTCAGCAACGTTATGACAGTCTGGGCAGTAGGAACTAACTGCCAGCTAAAATCGGTGAAGATATCCCAAAAAGTCTCTGTGGCCGCTTAATATTTGGTTCAAATTGAAGTTCACCATGTTGCTAGTCTGTAGCTTGATGATAGGATGGCTTTTCTTTGCCCCCAATAAAGTGTTTGACAGCTTTTATTCGCAAGTGATATTTTATTCCCCACTTAGTATGCGAAACATCGAGTATTTCCCAAACGGTCATTCAGCAAGCAAATGGATTGGACTAAGTGACATGAAAAATTTAGAATAAGTCGTGTCTGAATTTGTTCTAAGTGACCACATTATTTAAATTAAATAAAAATGTTTTGTTATAAAATTATATTATTATTAATTTTAAGTCCTTTTCACACTTCCTTTCTCGTTATCTCATATTTCTTTTACCACATAACTCTAGCAAAATTTGTGATATAATGCGGTAGCAATAAACAATAGAAATTATTATTCTCTGAAAACTCAACCCATTCATTAGGCATTTCAATTTATTATACTAAACAATATATTATAACTGCAATAACTTTCCCTTGACCTCAAACAGATAAACGGTTACTCATGCTCAGTCTTCTCGAGTTGCACATCAGAACCCTCAACTGCACCAAAATTTTCAACCACAACCGCACAAGTTTAAAGAAAAATTTTGAATATGTTTAATTTTTACGCCACATTTCGTCTACTCTCGGACTCAATACACCCTTTGCACCCGCAGCCGTTATCGTAAAAAAGGCATTAAATGCGTGTCAAGTGGTCACACTTTATGGGTTTTATGGCGCATTTTCGAAGAGGCTCTAAAGGCAAGCAATCCGGCAGATACATAAGTCGCTGCAAGGCACTGACATAATTATGAGCGCGGACTTCTATTCCAAAAAATAATTCTTTTGTCATTCAAATTTGACTTCACATTCTACACTTTCCATAGAATATTTTTTATTCAACCGATGGATTACTTTTCTGCGGTTTCGGCTTGAGAGTGGCTTTGTCAATTTCGTATTTATGAAGTCAAAAGTTACAGTTTTTTATCAGAAATTTTAATTGTGGAATCCCCAAATTATTGTCTGATCAGCCCGAAAGACTTACAAAAGTAATAAAGTTGTCAAATTATTATTAGCGGAAAAAATAAAGAGAAAAATTTTTTTATTCATTTTTTATTATTTATTTTAGCTCGTTCATATTATTTGAGCACAATGACAGTCAGACGTTGTGATGATTATAAATGATTTTCGCAAAAAATTCTATGAATTGTACGCGGTGCTGCTTGGCAGCTCTACTCATTATTTGGATTCCTTCGAACACGGAATAGGGAGTCGTTGGCTGCTGCTTCATTGGTCTTTTGTGGAAGTTTGACATTTGATTAATGATTCTAACATTTTTTAAGGAATTTATGATTCATGCTGAAAGCTGTTTATGAGAATGTATTCATTAGTCCGTACATAAGTATTATGCGTGTTTACGAATTTATAAGTTAAACATTATGAATGGCAACACTCGTTTGGAAAATTAATAATTTACGAACATCACTCAAAATGTGGAAGGAAATATAATTGTGAATAAAAATTCTGGCGATAAACTTAAATCTCATATGAAATAATACCGAAGGGATCAATGCATTAGAAATTCCACAAATTGATTATCAAGTTTCAATTCTATACTCGTATGTATAGTAGATATTATATGAGGGCTGCCTTTCAATTCTTGCTACTAATAATGAAAACACAGTGGTTAATCAGTAAAAATGGTTTTAATATTTTTCTCCATATATTCTTCATGATCAAAAGTCCTTATAGAGTGTAACAATGTATTCCATCAACTAGCCATCAACAACCAGGCCTTTCTGATTTGCGTGGCCGTACATAAAATACAGGAAAGCAACAAATAGGCGAACCTTTATACCACAAAGAGGTGAGGAAGAGCTATTCATCGCTCCAACGCCATCCTTTGGCTTCAATAAAAACAACATATAACATGAGACCAACGAATAGGCGAACCTTTATACCAAAAAGAGGTGAGGAAGAGCCATTCATCGCTCCAACGCCATCCTTTGGCTTCAATAAAAACAACATAAAGCATGAGACCAACGAATTGGCGAACCTTTATACCAAAAAAATGGTGAGGAAAAGCCATTCATCGGTCCAACGCCATCCTTTGGCTTTAATAAAAACAACATAAAGCATGAGACCCAAAAAATGGATTCCACAAAATATCACAAAATATTGGAATGGCATTGACGGCTTAAATCACTTCAAAAAATTCTTGAATTTTGACACTAAAAGAATAAAGTATTGGACGTTCTCACTATAAACAAGAAAAGACTAAAGTCACTCTCTTATGCACTAATAATCCACTCCACCTGCAAGAAACACCTACATAATATTACAATTATTCTCAGATTCTGCTGTGATAGAGAAGAGCCTATGGAACACCTAATCAGTAACTGTGATGCACTAAGCCGCACGAGACATAAAATTCTAGGTGCATTTGTAACGTCAATATTCATTGAGACATTTCCATGCTTAAATTTTTTTGGTTCGCTTCTTTTGACGCGATTTGAAATTCATAGTCTTAAGGTTCCACGTATAACAAAAATAGCTCATTATATAGGGACTTAGTGGCATAAATGTGAAGAAACTAGTAAACTTCTCACAGCCACAGACCTGTACCGACGACTTCATAAATAGAGGCCATATGTATTCATTTTCGATTAGCTTAAATTAGGTACTTAAAAAACTTTATCGTAAATATATTTAATGACATCAAAGGAAGTTTCTAGATTATACAAGACTCACTTTTTATAATAGATGTATGCGAATTGTTGATCTATGTGAAGTGTTTCATAAAGAAACTGATTGTTGGGGATGTCATGTTTAAGGTTCAACTGTGTCCGTAACCGTACCTTGACTAGTTAACTCAAGTTATTTGCTTTGAAGATACCATTGAATGTTATCTACATTTTGTTTAGATATGTGTGACAGTTCTGTAGACAATTAATCTATAGGTATTCGTAGATTTCATTTCCTTTTCATATATAGTCCGCTTGTTTGAATATGTCAACGGCAAAATATTGCTGCAATGGTACAGTACTCCAGTAAACACACGTAACATACGTCTATTTAAATTAAGAAGACTCTTCGGTTTTTTTTCTATATAATCACATAACCCACTAGATTACTCCATAAGTTATTCATCACCACAATGGATAGTTTAATCATAATCCTGAGTGGTTCACACATCAGTGTTTGTATTATGTGTTAGACTTATATTATTGTGTGTGCCGGAGCTGTTGTGATCATCTCATTAATTCGCTTCTGTTGATATGTCCATATTAAGGAACACAACAAAGAAAGACTTTATAGAGCGGTTAAAAGGTTATAGTATAAAATTAAATACTTGACTCTTAAAAGTGGAAGTTCTGTATTCTATTAGCAAACTGGTCTTTGGTTTTAATCAACACCAATAACACTATTAATAACTTATAGCGATTATAAATTTATTAGTAAAAGTAAAATTATAATATTTAATAAATTAAATAGTAATATATTATAAATTAAATCAAAAAAATATTTTTGTTAATATACGCATGTATTTATTACTTATTGTTAAACACGTTTAAAAGAATTGAAAGTTGTGTAGAAATTCATTAGTCCGATTCAGCATCACTCTCCTCAGATTCCAAATAAGATTTACGAACATTTGAAGATTTAGAATCAACGACAATTTTTTCTTCGTCTTCTTTAAGCTTTATGACCTCAATAATAACCTTACGACCGATCGGTTGGGTAGGATCACAATCATCTGCACTCAATTTAACCGCCATATCATTTAATTTTTTAACAGGATTTTTCATTTTCTTCGTACGCAGCTGACCAGTTGGACGGAATAAAAACTCAGAAAAATTTTGCTGGATTAAATGAAGATGTTGTCGCTTAATTCTATTAGCCTCACCTCTTCTTCTAAGCTCGATAGTTGCATTATTAGACGCATTAGTAGCCGCATCATCAGGCACATTAATAACCGCATCATTAGACGCATTAAGAAGAGCCGCATTGAAAGCCGCCAATTCAGCATCAAACATTTTCTCCAACTCTAAAGCATTCAAAAACATAGGCGAAATGGATGAATAACGTTCTTCTGGTTTAGATGTGCCTGAGTCCCAACGAGTAGACCTCCAATTACAATTTTTAACCACTGGCTCAGCGCTGCCACCTGCATTAACACGACCAGAGTTATCAACTGCATTAACAATTGAATTACCACCTAAATCACCACCTGAGCTTGCAGATGATTTGTCATCCCCAGACAATGCAACACCACCAACCATTGTATTTTCAGGCATTATGAATCTGAAATAGTTTTATATATTTAAGACTTTTATTGTGTATCTGCGAGAATATTTAATATATTTACCTTGATGACGGTGTTTAAGTAGGATTTTTGTAAAATAAAGTTAACCTTCAGTACTTGAGATAATTTTTGCCACACTGTCAAATTTTGAAACATTTATTTTCAGTTATATTTTTAGTTTTTATTATAAAATTTTATTTTAAAATGTAAACTTTCATTCTCAAAACAAAAAATTAGTTTAAAAATGAGTACTTGATCAGATAATTTTTTTTTCATATTCCAGGGCACTTTCTAGTTTAATAGAAAAATTAAAGGATTATAACCAGAGTACCCTTTAATGGTATCTTTAAAACTTTTACTACCAACTGGTGCTCAAACCCTTTTCTTGCTTTTATTTTTTTGGTTCACTACTTTTGAAGTTACTTTAAAGTTATAACAAACTCAATATTAAGGGGGTATTTATATCAAACATGTACTAAAAATCTATTATTAAATACATATATTAGAATCTAGACTTTATTTATTAAAAATATTTCTTGGTTTGAATGTGACTTTGTAAGGACCATGTTATGTAGATTGTCTTATGTCTTATTTTGAGCCTTTTTCGAGTTAGTGCATCTGGGCACTTTTGCTCTATGATGGCTGGGAGGTTTCTGCGGAGTCCCACCCATCTCACTGACTAATTTGAGTATTCTTCATAATCTTCGTGATTTTTCAATGATTGATCTAAGATCTGCGTACCTCCCCGTGCGGTTACTGATTACTCTGAGATTAGATAGTGCTAAGTAGAGCAGCCTGTAGATTTTCGCATATAGCTTCCGAGCTCTGTCCCTTATGTATTTTTTGACCGGATCTATTCTAAGGTCTCTTAGCATATCATTCGTGCGGATGTACCATGGCACTTTGAAGAGCCTTCGGAGAGCCTGACTTTGAGCAACTTATAGCTATATAACATGGCCCTAAACAATACGATATGATGAGAGATTTTTATTAAGTTCGCTATAATAATCAACTGTCTTCATTATGCCATCGACATCGATATCGACAAAGATGGGTTCATGAGATATAGAGATTTCAAGTTTTCTAAGCTTGAAATAACAACTAGAACCACCAGAAATCTGGTTTCAGAAGCGACCAAGAAAACAACCTGCACGTACTCGTTAACTAAAATGACCAAGCATCGCTTATAACTTCCTACAATGACAACCACAGACCCGCCATCTAGCGAAAGCTAGTGCATGAAATTGGTAAACTAGTAGATTTATGTCATATGTAAATTTTTTTATTAATTAAAGAACCAGATGTTTCTTTAAATAATATATGTTATTGTGTCGTAAAAAGAGCTAATGACAATATTGATTTCTTGAAATTATCGGGTTAAAGCGGTTTTCGATACAATATTTTTGATATTTCAACAGCTGATGCCTTTTTTTCTTAATATTTAATATCAGGCAAATAACACGTAAACACTTCTCACTTTCAGATGGTTTCAATACTGTTCTCTCATTGCAAAGTTGATAAGAATCTGGTAGTACATACCCAAAGCCTATTTTACTTATGAAGAGATCAAAATATATTCTATATACATAGAACTGGCAAGTGTATGGACGATGAATTTCGAGTCAAAAAGAATTATGCTCAAAAGAGTACCATTAGGAAAATTTCGGCATAGTGCGGAATCTTCTTTAAGGCAGACAAATTAAGTACCGGGTCCCTTGTCGCAATTCGAATCCTCTTATTATCTTTAACGTAATGACTTTGACCTTGATCTGTAATTTTGTAATTCCTGCTCTATATATAATTATTTCAACAATTTTTAATAAAATGATGACAAAATTTTGACTATACCATCTATTAATTTATTATGGGTGTATATAAGACGGAAGAGGTAAACTTATGTGTATATATGTAAATATATATATGTATATGTGTATAGTCCTCTGTATATAAGAGGAATATATTAATACAATATAAGGAAGTTTAAGTAAAAAATATTTACCGACTAGTTATTCTCCTTGCTTTAGTAGTTCTTACTTTGACTGAAACTGATTGCTTCTCCTTGAAGGATTGCTTCTCCTTGTTTATTTGTAGTGCTCCAATAAAATTGTCTGTGAGAAAAGTTCTAAAACAGAAGAAATGAAACTTTAAGAACCGTTTAAAGTATAAAGTATATTAGATCAACAAAATTGAACCGTTTAAACAAGTTTAGTTATGTTCCGGTAAATAGTAATTACACCAATTGATATAAATTTTCACTTTAAGAAATTTATAACACCTTCGGAAAAAATTAAAAATCACATGGCCATCTTTTCCATATGATTATATAAAAAAAGAGGGCTGCCATATGTATAAAAAATCAAAATGCCATCTTTAACTTCACAAATAAATTTAATTTTTCTATTATATTTTATTCTATTATAGGTACTATTAAAGAAATAGTATTATAAAAGGATAATTATTATTTTAAACAAAGGTATTAGCGTAACATATGACATCAATGATGAAAATACGGTTGGCAACTCTATTGCTACAGCAAACATTTCGATTAGGGACAACTTATTTTTGCATTTTATATATGTATTTGGGATTTCAATATGATTAACTTATGGTGTGATAAAAACACTGTTATATATGAAACCGTATGTTGATTGGAACACGCTATGGGCCTATGGAACACGCTATAGGTGCATGAACCGCGCTGTAGACTGCCAGGTAATTTACATTGTTTATAGTTTTATAAAATATGGCTTAACATAGCATAAAGTGCAAAAAACAATCAATTTATTTGAGAAAACATATCAAATTTAATAAATAATATTTAGAGATATATGCGATATAGCTGGCTTATTCAAAGAAACCCGTGACGCTGGCCACAAATGTCAAGATTCGTAGAATTAATACCAATGTGTGTCCTTAAAAGTACGAATTTATTTATTTATTTACCTGTAATTATAAATTAACTTGATTAACTTAAAACTTTTACTACTGTATATTAAATAAATTGTATTTAATTAAATATTTTAATTACTTAAAAAACACTTAAGATACCCGTACTTGCCGAAACTTGAGCACGAACTTCAGAAAGCGAAGCAAAAAAAAAATGACAAACTAATATACCTACATAGAACTTTCAGTGTTGCCAATTCCTTTTGTTTTGTAATTGAAAGCAGTGTTGCTATTCGGTGACGTGATCACCGGTTTCTAGACGTTTAGAACCGCTTATCAAACGTGATACCTAAGTATTTAATGCTGTCCTCCCAATTAATCACGATGATAAGAAATTTTTGGGCTTTCCAGAAAGCGTCAGAAGTGTGGGCGACAATTTGCTCTAGATGGCTCTAAAGCAATACTTTGAGTAGCATTTTAGTGAAAATCAACGCCATTGTTGCGTTGATTGATGTACATCGTCGTCCATCACAAATGCATTATATTGTTTATTTTATTTTAAGGGACAGACTTAGGTAATGTAGATTGAGGTTCTAAGGATTTAAGGTTTTAGTTTTAAACAAAATGAATAGACTAAGTTGGTATAGAGTTGCAGAATAGCTTGCTTTTACTTAGTTTCTCGGGAGCCGTATTCCATAGTATTATAAAGCGGGTAGTCTTTTGATTCTCTAAGATGGTTTTTTATAGTCGAACCTTTAGCTCTGCGTCGATTTGATTCATGTGAGCAACACAGGCGCACCAGGGTTTACCAGAAGTACAAAATAAAACTATAAAATTGGGTTTTCAGATAACGTTTCACTTAAGGCAGTCGCAGAGCTTATATATTCAAAATAATATTCAAACTTTAATGATAAAAAATTCATTTGTATGGATATCAACTTATTTTATTTTACTCAAGAAATTAAATCTCTGATGATAACAATCTTATAATAATATAATCTTATAGGCGTAAGGAATAAATGTTAACTAAAAAATAAAGTAACAATTTTATTTTTTAGTAAAAATTCTGATATTGTTCATAAATTTATTAGGTGTCGCTCTTTTTCCTTAGTGATGAGGTGGGTTTTTATGGATATGCAAAATGATGTCAATATCAAAATATGAAAAAAAATATCTTTAATAAATACTATATATAAATATATTTACATACGACAAATATATTATATACTTCCTAGTACATTAACATGGAAACTTTTGAACTGACAAAAGTTCAAAAGATTGATTCAGTATCACTCCACTCAGATTCCGAATCGCATTTACAATCTTTTGAAATCTTAGATTCAATGACTTTTGCCTTCTCTGGTTCTTTAAGCTTTACAATCTTAATTATGACTTTACGTCCGACTGATTGGGATGGATCATAAAAGTCTGCATTATTTGGAACCTTCATTTCACATGATTTTCGTGAAGTACTTTTGAGTTTCATACGACATTTTTGAGTTGGTCGACGAAAGTACTCCAAAAGATTATTTTGGAGATTTTCAATTTGTTGTCTATTTATTCTATCGATCTCCAATTGTCTTTCAAATTCATTAAGATCAGGTTCAATGATTTGATTATAAGTTGAAAAATCAATATCGACAATGTTCTGTCGGCGTACGCCAGTGCCATTATGGTGATCATCACGCAATACTTCACATCTGGCAATTGAGTTTGACGAGAAATTATCCTCTATTAATTCAAGACCGTCATCGAGGGAATGCTCAGGCATTTTGAGTCTGAAATGATTTTAAAATGATAAAAGATTATGTGAATGATGTAAGAAGATTTATTTACCTTAAAGGTACCGCAAATGTTATTCTGAACAGGAATTTCGTAACAGAAGATTATTTTACGGTAACTATCGCCTCCTAAAAATGTTTGATTATTTATATTTATTTAATAAAATTATAATATCAAACAGAAAAGGCATTGCTGACAGAATAATTTTTTTTTATTGTGAATTACTTTGCAGCAGTTTAGAAATATTATTATTAATATTGTTAGGGGATGTAACACTGCGACCGTCGGGTCTATTGTGCCCCCTTCTAGAAATATTAGAATACCAAAAAGTCTTTTGTAATATTTATTACAATCAAATCACCAAATTACACTTTAAATAATACTACAAGGTCTCGAAATATAATCGAAATATCACTTTTTAAAGGGGCTGTATTACGAGACCCTTTATTACGAGACTCGTATGTAGACCAGACCTGTTGAAAGCATGGGAAGTAAAGTTAAATTTACTACTTTTGAATTGTCCAAACCTTTTTGGATTTTTTTTAAATATTTTATTTTTTCCAAGATTTTTTGGGACTTAAAAAAGAACTAATTTATTATTGTCTAATGCATGGAATAATGTAAAATTCATGACCCTATTTTTTCAACTTTGACCTTTAATCCATATAAACTTGTATGTTGGTATAAAAAGATACTAATGATAATCCGCTAATAAAGAAGATATATTTAATCATAAGATTGAAATTATTAAATGTTGTCTTATATCAATAATTGATATGAAAATTTTAATAATAAGAACAGGTAGCTGATATATAACCAAACAATTAGACAGACCCTTCTATATAGATGTGTAGCAATCAGCAAGATCTCAAACACTACTATTCGCCAGCTGGAAATTGCACAAAGCTAGGTTCTGAGAAGACTTTTCCCATGGTTAGGACAAATGACATCCTCAGGGACCTCAAGATCGCTCCGATTAAAAAATACATAAAGAATAAAGCTCTGAAACTATTTACGAAAACGAAGAGGCTTACCAACAATGCGTTATTAAAACTTAGAATGGTTACAGGCTCCTCGGGGAGGTATGCAGATCTGAGGTCAATTAATAATTAATAAGCAATGATCCATTTAAGTCGTGTAGAGTGGTTATGCAGAAAACTCGTAGTTAATAGAGAGTAAAAGTGCTAAAGTGCACTGATTCAACTAGCCTCAACGTACAGATATGAGGACCTCAAAAATATATATTTTAATTAATTTAAAAATTATTTAAAAATGAAATAAAAGGGTGAACGCTAATAACTTTTATAAGCTAATTAAAATACTATATGTATGTATAAGTATCTCATTAGATATTGATAAAGCGTTGACAATAGTTCCCTTTATTATCTACTATAATATACATATATTTATACTAATTAATATTCTTAGAAAAAGTAAAGAGTATTGATGAAAAAAAATATAAAAATATTAACAAAAATATATATATAAGTATATTTACTTTTACTGGACTTTTAATGAAAATTGTATCAACACTTTTTAAATGCTTGTAAATCCACGGAATAAAATTGTGATTTATTTTTTGATAGTTTAATTTTTTTTTTTTTTCTTGAAGTAAAATAAGTGGAATGACAATTGAATTTAGTTTTCAAAACGTATTCGATCAATAAAAATAATACTGTATAAAGTAGTCTTAAAAAGGTTCGTCTGGTTGTCCAGGATTACCTCTGAACAACGTAATCGTTGTAAAAATGTTTTCATTGTATAACTGGTGTGAAAGAGTTTATTTCGAGACTAATGACAATTCATTTGTGAGGTGACATATTCAATATTAAAAGCCCTAAGCAAAAATGACGTTTTAATTAAATTATATTTTAGTGCAGTAAAGGAGCACGTACATTTATTGACATCATTTTAGGTTTTAGTGTTAGATCTAGTAAAGTCATCATCTATTTTGTATAGTTTTCGATTACATATGGTAAAATATCCAAAGATTGCAAAAAAAAACCAATTTTTAGTTACAGTAATATATAAATTTAAGTGTAGTTGAGCACTGACTGCGTGCGTTGCTGAAGTGTGAAGGTTAAACCGTTTTTTTTAATTGTAATTCATTAAAACATAAAAATATATATAATAATTTAATAACTTTAATAAAGGACTTTAAGATTTTTTTCATACATTTGTATGAAAATAAAGGAATATATATTTCTGATAGACACCGCTTTAGTGTTATTTATCGTCTATCAAGTACATATGTATATGTGTTTAGTTGTGTATTCAAATAAATATTCTCATTACAAGCAAAAATAAAATCTTAAAATCTCACTGAGTTTAAAGAAAAATGTGTCTTTCTTAAAAAAATAATCCATTTTTTATTTTTGTTGTGAAGTCAACAGCTCTTTCTATAAATAAAACGAGACGAACTCCTTAATCGTTTGTTAAACAATGATTTTCCAGCTTTTTATAATACCGAATTTTAGGGAAAAAAGTTCCAAATTTTATTTACATGCAGTAATAAAGTAAAGTACTCTGAATAGGTCCATTAAATCAGTTGCCTTTTTCAGATAAAAATGCCAAAATATGAATAAAAAGCTTCACACGAATAAAAACACATCAGTCGAGAACAAAAAATCATAATAATTTTGCGGAATTTCTTACTTAAAAGTTGAATATGGAAATATCTTTTAAGCTGAAGTATTTCACAACAGAGACGTAGTAAAAATTTTTTTTTGAAAACTCTTTAAAATTATCAACTCTATTAAATAGACTTGGTCTTTCTGATTAAGATCATGTCAAAGACTTATTTAAACGAACAAACGCGTTTAACTCACAAATAATATATAGCAAAAGAATGATATCAGTGCTGAAATTTCATCCAAAACTAAATTATATTGATTGTAAGTAAAGAAATTATCTCATATGTCATCTGATTTGTTCTTAACTAGCACATGCACCAAACGCGTTTAACTCACAAATAATATATAGCAAAAGAATGATATCAGTGCTGAAATTTCATCCAAAACTAAATTATATTGATTGTAAGTAAAGAAATTATCTCATATGTCATCTGATTTGTTCTTAACTAGCACATGCACGACGTCGCCTTACTACTCTAGTGGTTTCCCTTGTGAAGGATCTGCGTCACAATTGTTTAAGGTGGTTTTAAACCTCCAAGTTTTTTCCCCTATACGGTTACACAATAGGCTAATAGACCTAGTTTCAGCGGTACAACCTAACCTCACTTTATAAAGAAGTAAACGCTCAGCGCTCAATGCAGTATTATAGCAAAATATGGGAGGTTGGATCGGCGGTACAACCTAACCTCACTTAATAAGAAGTAAACGCTCAGCACTCAATACAGTATTATAGCAAAATATGGGAGTTTTATACTGGATCGCCCAATAAGTCCATACACACTTAGTTATAAGTTAGCATAAAACAAAGTTATTGCTAATATATTAGAATTTTGTCTTAGAATCGCCTATGAAATCAATAACATTACAAACAAATAATGCTTTGATATAAAAATACTAAAGGTATTAATGTATGAACTTAAGTCCAAACATATATAGTGAATATAACTAAAAGAAAGAAACAGGTCAAAAAAATAGTTACACTATTAATCAACATATCTTTAAGAAAGTTATAAGTGATATAGGATGTTTCTTAAGCTGCATGAGAACTATCGATATCGATAACAATGGTTTGATAGCTGAGAATGTAAAATTCCCAAAGGGTTGGCATTTATCCTAAATCGTTTAACGCTAGAACAACGTTTCCAAATTGTGGAAACTTACTCCGACAAAAAAAATAAATTGATTTTGCAATAAATCGTTTTATTTCTTTATTATTAGAAATTTGTTTTCAGAAGTGGATCTGTTAACTGACCCACTCATTTTTGCGATATACCTACTCTTGATTACTTTTAATGGGGTTATGTTAAGTCATTGGTTTCTGTAGAAAACTGACAAATCTGGAACTATTGAAGCAAAGGAAGCCAATATACATATCACTATTGACACCGTATGACAGCATTTATTGCAAAATAATAGTCAAAAATTGGACCAATCGAATGGACCATGCAACTCGTAGCCACGGCGCACATATATAGGAAGTTATATTCAAAAAATAAATGCAATGATTTTATCTACCAGATCCTATTAAAAAAAGTTTTACACAACAATATTACTGTCTTCCATTATCATTTTAAGCTCTCAAGCAGAATGACTAATCGAGTCAGTTATATCCTATCAGTTATTTTTGCGTTGAGAACTACAATTATATCAGTCAAATAGAAAATCTTATTATTATAAGGTCTAGATAGGACTTAATAAGATATTAAAAAGATGACAAATTTGAAATATCTTCTCTTTCTTCCCTTTCTGCTCCGCTATTGAACTTCATATAGGATGCGCTATTGTGTAAATAAGCGCGAAATGGTAGAAAAAGATTCAAAGTTAAGCAGCTTCGTATGATAAGACGAAATACATAAGTAAAAAGAGGCTTAGAGCAAGCAAAAATCGATGTACTTACTTCGTCTTCCCTAAAAGTGCAAATATTAAGTCAGAAGAAGAATCACAAGTGACACACATTATGACTCGAAAATATTTAAATGACACAATTGAAGGTGGATGGATGAATCGCTGAATTTCGTACAAGTTGAGTAAGCCAACTCATCCAGAGATATGTGGCGCATAACAACAAATCAAAAACAACAACAACAACAGAAACAAAAACATAAAAGATATATAATCATAATGAAAAAATCTTATAATGTACAAGATAATTAATTAATGTCACAGGGCGTGTGCATTGCTATATTTACACACACCGCCAAATAGAAGGAAGGGTAGAGCTGATATCTTCGGCATACAGTATGGGTATTTACCCATGTCATCTTCTTGAGCAATCACAAGTATCTGTTCGCATGTACCACATCTATTGCAGGAGTATGTGTGGATATCCCAGCGCTTAATATTGTCATGGTAATCATAATAACGAGCCAAATTAATATGTATTTTTATATATGAGCCATAATTCCTGCCGTTTGTACTGACACATTTGTCTACTTTAATGTATCTTATATATTTTATATGTAATTTTTTTTCTTTTTATTATGGATTTTTTTCTTTTGTGTATGATTTGCAATTTTTCGTCATTTAGCTTCTGTACGAAAAGATATTAAAATGTATAAGTTGAATGTTTTGTTTTTGGTTTTGGTGTTCATACCCGTAATAAAATGACAGTAAAACAAATTTCTGGTATAAAATATTTTTATATATTTTAAAGAGATACATTAATGAGGGTGAACAGAGAAGTGCTTAGACCAAGTGAACATTTTCATGGCATAGAAGTTATAAGGGAGTTAAGGAAGCTATATTTATAAGGGAATTAAGGAAGTTATAAGGGAGTTAAGGAAGCTATAAGGGAGTTAAGGAAGCTATAAGGGAGTTAAGGAAGCTATAAGGGAGTTAAGGAAGCTATAAGGGAATTATAAGGAAGTTTTAGGCTCAAGAAACTTTCTAGATTTAACTTCTAAAATATGGAGATATCCTTAAATCTCCATATTATCTTTCTATCTCCATCTTTATATTTATAAAAACTTAAGTTGAATGTATATTATAAGAAATAATCACGTTTTTTCTTTATTTTTTATATTAATAATTGAAATTGTTTAATGAAAATTCATTTTCATTGGTATATATGGTATTGCTAATATTTGATGTAATAATTTGTCTATATGTATTTAGTTACTGTACTATAATTCCAAATGAAATAACTCCCTATATATATTTAGTTACAGTAGGTTATTTCCAAGTGAAATGCATCCACACATCCAATAACATTGAAAGCATATTAAACTTGATATATGATACTTAAAGAATATCATCGACTAAACAATATGCTATACATATACAGAAGGGAAGTATTTAAACCCAGAGTTGATTGGTAGCTGTAAGATTTTAAATCGAAAATTACATCAAATAGAAACTTTTAAAAAATTTATTTTTAGAGACTTTTATATAGATAAACTTCTTTAAAATTAAAAACAATTATCTATAAACATAAATTATATTAATATATCTTATGAACTAACTGCTAACATTTGTTACATATTAGAAAATATAAAAAAAAACCATTATCAAATACTTTATAAAACCTCGGCCACAATCTCGTTCACTAGTGACAAGTTGATGACCTAAAAGTTTAAGTATCTTTAACACTTGATATAGCTTGCACAAGCCTTCAATAGATTCTTCTTTTTACGCTTACAAACCACTTTCCTAATACATGTACTTGGCTATGTACCAAGTTTATCCACCATAAGGCTTTAGTTTATAGAAGTGAATGGCTCTCAAGAATTGAATGGAATAAAATAAATAAGGAGTAATGTCACTTCGTCCTTAGAATGAAAGCCAAATATGTATAGACAGTATGAATAAATTGACAATAGTCTTTTCCTTTCCTAGATTATATTTAGAATATCAAAGAGAATATGACTGTATCTCTAATCCAACTCCAAGTATACTCGATGTTCTGCGATTACTTGAAGCAGCTTTCCAACACCGACTTCTTACCG